GAGTCATATCTCTGCAGCTTATCATCTCTTCATCACATTCTGATTTTTTATACGCGTCTACTTTCTCGTCAAATAACAGATACAATGACATCAAACCGATACCCAGTTTACCCGCATTTGGTGACACCCAGTGGTCCCTTAAATAGCTCATTGTGTCCCTAACCCATCGGCGAACCCGTTTTGGGTCAGTCTTTCCCGGCAAATATGGATATATGAGTCCTACACTGCCATCGCCGGTAGTGTTTGGCGTGAATTCTTCAGATATTAACGTTATATCAATAATATCGGGTATATTTTCAATGAGAACCACCGCTGATGTCATTCCTATTATTCCGCCACCGATTACAGCAATTTTGGTTCGTTTGACAGACATTTTTAGATCAAAAGTATATTTCAAAAAAGTTTTAGTTTAAACACATCTCTAATACTCGTAAGTGATTGAAACAAATTGCATGAAATCAATGAGTATTAAATGGATTAAATTTGAATTTTTATTGTTTCTCATACACGTGCACATACAGTATACAAAATAAGCTAATTTTCATGCACACGTGTTTTAAATTACAATAAATTATATTAAAATATTACTTGTCTATTGCCCGTTTTGAATCATTACTTTTTTGTGCGATTACATGACCCTGTTCCCTTAAACCAACCTTACCTTATTCCTCCCCTACCTGCGTATCTAACCCAATCCAACCTAACTTAAATCAACTTAAAAATTTTTAACCACAATATATTTGTGAAAAATATGGTTTATAAGATGGTTCGGCCCCTTCCCTTCCCACACCCTATGAGGTTTACCATGGGATTCCATGTTAATCCTATGACTGTACTTTAACATGGGAGACTCTCATAGAATAACATGAAGATTATTACAATATTATGTTACGATCCAGGAGTTCACAGTGTACCTAGGTACTTGTCCCCGTGACTCCTGGTCGAGTAATCTGTAAAATATGACTAATAATACAGATTAATAAAGTATTTAAATAAAAAGTCTTTAATTTATTATAAAAAACATTTAATTTTATTAAAAATCTCAATGAATAATAACAGACATTGTATGCATACAAATAACACAAAAAATAGTTAACATTTAATTAACTTAAAACTAATTATAAACTAAAATATAGAAAAGTTTCATGTTTAAAATAGAGTCTCTACTCTAAACCCTAACCAACTATTCCTATGCTCTCAAAACTCTTTTTTTTCCATCAGTTTATCATTCATCCAGTTTTATACATAATTTACAATAATTGTCAATTGTAACTTGATCATTTTACAAGTATACTGTGTACACATAATGAGTGCGAATAAGTGCAACAAACAGGTATTTAAAACTACTACTGTATAACTTTACTGCAGTATAATGCACATGATACTTTTATGCTAAAATATAATAACAATTAATAGTAATCTATAATAAATAAGAATATTCATGAATACAATTTACGACATTCGTAACAATTACTTAACAATTAGAATTGTTTTCAAAATTATATATCAATATTCGTGAATCTCTATTGAATAAAATTTGAGAGAAAATGATTTGTCATTTAGAAATTACGATCAAAATTGTCGACAATTTGTTGCAACGAATCGGCGCTGTTTGTGATTTGATGGGCCAATTGAGTCAACACGGGTGCAAATAAGGCCATATCATTGATAAGCCGTGCCAAACGCTCTAGGTCGTTCCGGCGATAGTGTTCAAACTCGTTGTCCTCAATCCAAATGCCCCACCGCTGGTACAGAGACCGAAACACACCCGTATCAAAGTCCGACCATTTGGCCACAAAGTCACCGGCGTTTTGGTCGTCTCTAAACAGCAGTACATTGCCGTAAGTGGGGTCCAAATGAAGTATACTCTGGCTATGCATATAATTCATACCTATATATCAGCATAAAAGTTACATAATTATATGTTATAAAATAAATGTTTTACAAAACATATAATACTAAAATTATAGCGTAAACATACCAGCGCACATTTCCTGTGCGAACTTAATGGCCAGCCGTTGTGTGATTCTGCCGGCCTGACCAAAATCATAGAGGCTCGACTCCGCCAAATCCATTGCCAAAAACATGCGATCATACGATACAATTGGTTTGATGTTTGGGTCCTTATTGTTAATAATGTATCGCTTTTTACCCAAATTGATGGCTATTTTAAGCGATACACAGTTTGGATGTTTGAGTGCTTTCAGGATTTGCTTCTCAATCTCGTGATCGATACGCAATGAATAGTCCGCGTATTGACTGAACTGCACGTATTTGGCCGCAAATCCCCGGCCGGCGACAACACCCTTCAGACGACTGCCTTCCGTTGTACTCAATCCGTAAATCTATTCAAAAATAAATATATTGTATATGTAATATTTTTACAAAATAAGTTTGTAAACAAGTATAGTACCCGTTGATTGTAAACACCCCGGTACGCCACTCCCTGTACGCCACTACCCAATTTGCCAGTTTGGGAAAAATTTATTTCAAAGCCTTTGTCCCAAAGTGTCTGTAAATCCATTTGGGTTTTTGCATTCAACGCCATATTCTGGTCGTCTTCTTCCATATCTGATGCCAACTCTTCGCCACTACTATTGACATAGATTTCGGCTGAAGTACCGCTGATAGAGCCCTCCGGCATCTCTCCCGCCCCCATTTGCCTGAAGTTTAATGCAAGTCTATCCCTGGGCGTCGCTAATGGTATTGCGGGTATGAATTGCGCGCCACCGGTGGCCAAACCGCTTGATTGGCCAACAGTTTGAGCCATAACCGGCGACTCCTGTGATTGTTGGGCTCCCATAACATAGCTCTCGTGCGATGAATGTACGCTACTTGGGGTAGGGCTGGCGACGGGGGACAATTCATCGCTGGAAGCGCTGTCAGCGCTTTCACCGAACAAAGACATTGAGAGTCCACTCGAGGGATAAGGAGTTTGAGGAAATCGTGAGAGATCTCCGATATACATGTCGTCCATATTAGTGGCCTGTGGTGTGTACTGTGTGTGCGGTGCATCCCATTCACCACTCTGTGCTGCTGTAGGAAAGTGCCACTCATCTGCCCGTTGAGTCTGAGCCCACTGTTGCCATTCGCCCTCATCTATTGAGCGCATATGTCTGGCAGCGGGTGTGGCCGGGAGTCCACCGGTGGGCAAACCACTTGTTCTAATGGGAGCCAGTATTGGGTACCGATCGACCTCTTCAATGGGCGCATCCATCAAATGGCCGTCGCGTGGGTGCGCCTGTTCTACTGAAGTCAGACTGACCTGGCTCAATGCCATCAGTCTACTGCCACGTTGTCTCCGGGGATGCATTCCTCCTCCTTTAGCCATTTTGCCCGCAATTTGTTTTTTGAGTAAATGTTAAATGATTTTAACAATTATTGTTTTAAAAATTTAAAATTTATTAAATTTTGATCTTAATTTATAAGACATGATTTAACACATGAATTATAAGAAAATTAAACCAAAACTTCAAAACTGTGTTCACATTTAATATTCCACACAATCAAATCACTGTCATTGCGGGTAAAACATTCAATATAACCCTCTAATCTCTGACCCATGGCTTCTACCCACTGCTACCGGACCCACCCGTACCGGCGCTGTCCTGATTGTTGGCCGGAGTGGTAGTGGTCTGAGTAGTGGTAAACACATAGTCGGGCGGAGGGTATGCGTGCTGTAGAGTCCAATGTCGAGCCGTTTTGTTGAACTTTTGCCGATCCCTGAGATACATGCGCGCAGCCGTGCCGTTGTAGGGGTCGTTGGGGTTCGGGTCGGCCAACAAAGACTGCACAGACAGAAGCACTTTACCAATGCTGAGACCGGCGCTCCAGTTCCGCTTCAATGTGTCCAAACAAATCTGTCCGAAGTCACTAACGTTCGGGTGAAATATTTTTGTTGTGAATGCGATTTGTGGTGCACTCAGCGGGTAATTGGCCGGGAAATTGATTTGCACATTAAACAACCCGCCCTCGTAGGGGGTGTCCGGCGGGCCCTCAATACTGCCCGTCCACTGGAAATAGTCGGTGCCATTGGGTGCGGCCGTACAGCCCGGCGGCGGATCTCTTTGAAGTTCTGTCAACTCTTTGTGGATCCGTTTTAATGCCATTGTATCGTCCGATGGAGTGCTCTCTGGAAACTGTCTTCGGGTCACTGTTTTTGGGACACAAATTAAACGCTCGTTTTGTGTTTCAAATATTATTTTCAGCAAAATTTGCTTTAATTTTAAGTGTTTGAAAATATTTAATAAAATAATGGTATTATAAATAGTTAATTTTTTATTCAAATTTTCCAAAATTAATTATTTATTTTATTGATATAAAAAATAAAAATATTGAGAAAATTATTTTACATACAATTATTAAAATTAAATTTTTAAGGTTTTTAAATTATAATTTTTATAATCAAATTAAAAGTAAACACAATAACATAGTGTTCCATAACAACATGTACACGAGTAAACCCATTAACAAGTTTGTTTTGTCCAAAATCTGAATCGTAAAAATAACATGTTTAAAATTACTTGATTTAAAATAATAACTATTTATTCATCACATGAATAGTCTTTAGAATTTGTTGCAAAGTTTTTGTGCCCTCTATTAATTGTTGTGACAATTGCTTCAACACATCCGCATATTTGGCCAACTCGTCGATAGTACATAAGGCCATACGCTTGAGATCCTTCCTGCGATAGTATTCAAACTCCTTGGCATCAACGGTGACGCCCCACTGTTGGCACACTGAACGTGATAGACTCAGATCAAAGTCCGTCCATTTGGCCACTAAGGTATCGGGGTTTTTGTAGTCGCCAAACACCAGTACATTCGCCCAATGCGGGTCCATATGAATGACACCTTCGTTATGCATATAATTCATGCCTATATTCAGAATAAAAATTATATATTAAGTATTATACAATATTATTGTATACCCCACACAGTAAACACTGTACGTTATTACAAATGGTATAAATTTACCATCGCATAAATTCTTTGCAAATTTGATGGCCATCTGTTCAGTGACTTTACCGTCCTTAATAAACTGTTTGAGACTAGAGTCGGCCAAATCCATGACCAAAAATATGCGGTCATACGAGACAAATCGGATTTTCTGATTCATTTTGTGGACAAAGTATCGCTTTTTACCCAAATTGATGGCTATTTTAAACGATACAATATTTGGATGTTTGAGTGCTTTTAATATACGCCTCTCATTCTCGTGTTTGATTCGCTCCATTTCAGCATATTGTGGGCGAAACTGCACGTATTTGGCCGCAAATGCCTGATCGGGTGCTATACCGTCCATACGAGTGCCTAACATAACACTCGATTGAAGGATCTATAAGAAGAACATTTGTTTACAAATTGAATCAAATATTTAGTTTTGCAAAATAAGTCAGTAAACAAATAAATACTTTTTGATTGTAAACACCCCGGTATGTAACTCCTTGGGACCCTTTCTCTCCCAGTTGGCCCTCTTGTGTGAATTCAATCCCAAAGCCTACATCCGATAGTTTTGGTAAATTCAATCGGGTTTTCTCTATAAGTGCTTTCCAGTGATCATTTAGGTCTAAATACTGTTGGGGATACACTTGGGTATTACTTGTGACACAGAGCTGAGCTGATGTGCTGCCAATACCTCCCACCGGCACCTCTCCCGCGTCCATAAACGTGAACGCGTTGTCCAGTCTATACCGCGGCGCCATAGAAGACGTCCATTGAATCTCTCCGGAAGCCCCGGACCCACCAGTTTGGCCACTAACTGGTGCTTCTTCTTCTTCTTCTTCATCTTCTGAACCAAACAATTCCAAATTCAAGTCATGTACCGATTTGTATGGCGTACTCGAGGTGTGAGTGGGGGCGTGGGTTGATTGGTCTACAGCACCGGATGGATACGCAAATTGCTGATAGGACTGATAAGAAGTGTGCCCCACTTGTGACCCCAATGCAATTGTCAAGTCACTCACACCTGACGGTTCCGATTGAGTCTTTCTTTTCAATTCTCCCACATTTGCCGATCGTTGAGGACTGGCATCGGGTGTGGGCGGGAGTCCAGCGGTGGATGAACTGTGGGCTGGATTTGCCGCTTCTAATTGCGGCCCTTGTTTTGGTTGAATTGGGTTCGCTTGAGTCGAAGCACTACTTCTCCTTTGCCTCTTCTTTGGACGTCCCTCTTCTTCGTCACTCATTTTGGCCAAAATGTGTGATTTTGGACCCGTTTTATAGAAGTTAGATATTGTTATTTAAAACTTGCTTTTTATTTTGAAATTTGTTTTTAAATTTTAGACACAATTAATAATAACAGTACAATTAAAATCTATACAATTAAATACAGTTATATTTAAATAAAACTCATATATAAATATTCCTAACCACATGAATTTATTAAAAAATTAAACCAAAACTTGAAAACTATGTTCACATTTAATTTAACACACATTTAAATCACTGTCATTGCGGTTAATCTATTTAATATAACCCTCTAGTCTTTGACCCATGGCTTTTACCCACTGCTACCGGACCCACCCGTAGCGGCGCTGTCCTGATTGTTGGCCGGAGTGGTAGTGGTCTGAGTAGTGGTGAACACATAGTCGGGCGGAGGGTATGCGTGCTGTTGAGTCCAATGTCGGACTGTTTTGTTGTACTTTTGCCGATTCCTGAGATACATGCGCGCAGCCGTGCCGTTGTAGGGGTTGTTGGGGTTCGGGTCGGCCAACAATGACTGCACAGACAGAAGCACTTTACCAACGCTAAGACCGGCGCTCCAGTTCTGCTTCAATGTATCCAAACATATAGCACCCAATTCACTAACGTTAGGGTGAAATATCTTTGTTGTGAATACGATTTGTGATGCACTCAGCGGGTAATTGGGCGGGAAATTGATTTGCACATTAAAGACGCCGCCCGCGTAAGGGGTGTCCGGCGGACCCTCGATAGTGCCCGACCACTGGAAATAGTCGTCGCCATTGGGTGCGGCCGTACAGCCCGGCGGCGGATCTCTTTGAAGTTCTGTCAACTCTTTGTGGATCCGCTTTAAGGCCATTGTATTGCCCGATGGAGTGCTCTCTGGAAACTGTCTTTGGGTCACTGTTTTTGGGACACAAATTGTTTTGTGTTTCAACTATTATTTTCGGCAAAATTTACTTTAATTTTAATTGTTTTTGAAAATATTTTATATTTATATTTATTAATGATAATATTAAAATATTTATATTTTTTATGCGATAATAACATGTTAAAACACAATTGACCTAGTATCCATGGATAGATTTTCTTATGCGTTAGTTTTCACAGGAAACTTTAGTACATTGCCCGTTTTGAAGGTTGTTAAATTAAAATTTTTATAATGAAATTAAAAGTGAGACTATAACACAGTGTCCCATAACAACGCTATACGAGTTTGTACAATAAACAAGTTTGTTTTGTCCAAAATCTGAATCTTAAAAATAACCTGTTTAGAATTACTTGATTTAAAATAATAACTATTTATTCATCAAATGAAAAATCGTCCAGAATTTGTTGCAAAGTGTTTGTGCCCTCTTTTAATTGTTGTGACAATTGCTTCAACACATCCGCATCACTTTTATCGGCCAACTCGTCGATAGTACGGGCCATACGCTTGAGATCATTACTGCGATAGTGTTCAAACTCTTTGTCCTCAACGGTGACGCCCCACTTCTGGCACAATGATTTTGATAGACCCATATCAAAGTCCGTCCATTTGGCCACTAAGCCATCGGGGTTTTTGAGATCGCCAAACAACAGTACATTCCCGGAATGCGCGTCCATATGAATGACACCCTCTCTATGCATATAATTCATGCCTATATTTAGAATACAAATTACATATAAAGTTATTATACAATATTATTGTTACAAATGTTATAAATTTACCGTCGCATAAATTCTGTGCAAATTTGCGGGCCATCTGCTCAGTGACTTTATAGGTGCTAATAAAGTGCTTGAGATTACACTCCGCCAAATCCATGACCAAAAACATGCGGTCATATGAGACAAATCGGATATTCGTATTCGTTTTGTTGACAAAGTATCGCTTTTTACCCAAATTGATGGCCATTTTAAACGATACAATATTTGGATGTTTGAGTGCTTTCATTATACACCTCTCATTCTCGTGTTTAATACGTTTCAATTCATCATATTCTGGGCCAAACTGCACGTATTTGGCCGCAAATCTCTGGTCAGGCTCTACGCCCTCGAGACGAGTGGCTTTTCTACCACTCAATTGACGGATCTATAAGAGAAAAATATGTTTACAAATTAAATCAAACATTAAGTTTTGCAAAATAAGTGTGTAAACAAATAAATACGTGTTGATTGTAAACACCCTGGTACGTAACTCCTTGGCAACCGTGCTCTCCCAGTTGACCCTCTGTTGTGAAGTCAATCGCAAAGCCTTCAGCCGATAGTTTTGGTAAATCTAATCGGGTTTTCGCTTCGAGTGCTTCCGTGTAATTATTCAGTGATAAATACTCTGGTGGATACACTTCGGCACCACTACCAACACAGAGCTGAGCTGATGTGCTGCCAATACCGCCGTCCGGCACCACTCCCGCGTCCATAAACGTGAACGCGTCGTCCAGTCTATACCGCGGACCGATAGGGAGCACCCATTGAGCCCCACCGGAAGCCCCCGACCCACCAGTTTGGCCACTAACTGGTGCTTCTTCTTCTTCTTCTTCATCTTCTGAACCAAACAATTCCAAATTCAAGTCATGTACCGATTTGTATGGCGTACTCGAGGTGGGAGTGGGGGCGGGGGTTGGCTGGTCTACTGCACCGGATGGAGACGCAAATTGCTGACCGAGCTGATAAGAAGTGTGCTCCACTTTTGACCCTGATGCACTTGTCAAGTCCCTCACACCTGACGGTTCCGATTGAGTCTTTCTTTTCAATTGTCCCGCATTTGCCGATTGTTGAGGAGTGACATCGGGTGTGGGCGGGAGTCCAGCGGTGGACGAACTGTGGGCTGGATTTGTCGATTCCAATTGCGGCTCTTGTTTTGGTTGAATTGGGTTCGCTTGACTCGAAGCACTACTTCTCCGCTGCCTCTTCTTTGGACGTCCCTCTTCTTCGTCACTCATTTTGGATAAAAATGTGTGATTTTTGAACGAGTTTTTAATAAAGTTAAATATTGTTATTTTTAGATCACATTTTTTGTTTTGTTTAAAAATTTTTAAAAAACAATGAAACCCTTTATAAAAACCAAATTACTTACAAGTTAAATAATTGTAAGATTTACTTATAAACAGATCTTAACAACTCTATACGGGTTAACCAATAAACAAGTTTGTTTTGTCCAAAATCTGAATCTTAAAAATAATGTTTAAAATTACTTGATTTAAAATAATAACTATTTATTCATTAAATGAAAAATTGTCCAGAATTTGTTGCAAAGTGTTTGTACCCTTTTTTAATTGTTGTGACAAATCCTTTAACACATCCGC